TTTTTTTAATTTCTTCGAAATATTATTATCGGTCTGTTCGTTGAAATTAAAAAAAAAATGTTCATAATGTGTACACTTAATTTATGTACACGCTGTTGATTATCTGTATATTATGAAATTTACACGCAATACTTACAAGTGTTAACGTTAACTAAAATGCAAGCATAATGTTTATAGGTAGTTATTATTTTTCGGCCACGTTCAACAGGTTGTTGTTGTACATTTTGATAATCTAATTTAAACGCAGGTGGTTTTTTTGTTTGAATTGATGAGATTTACAGTGGAACGCGAAGGGATAAATTCATGTAAAACATAGTCCGTCCGTTTCCTGTAATAGTAAATTTGGAAATAAAAATCCCAGTAATATTAATATTATTCAACAGTTCAATACTTGATCAAATTTAGAACTGGTATTGTTTTGATATCGTTTCAATAGTTTGTAGAGATCAACGATGCTTAATTTATATTAATACTTCATATTTTGTAATTGAACATATATTTTAAATAACATAAAACCTAAAATTTATTATAATATCTATATTTCATTCGAAATGTTCTTATGTAATTTATGAAATACAATATCATTTGAAGATAATTAAGAAATAACAAATGCAAAGTAAAATAAATGATAATTAAAAATATTTCTGTAATATCAATTGAATTGTTGATTAAAACAAGATGATTTAAAAAAAAAACATAGATTACTGTGTATTGATCAGGAATATTTATAAACACTATACAATTAATATTAGTCTATTTGTAATAGGTATGCATAGTCGATTTTTTGAGGGAGTTTTTAGCCTGCCCTAACATAACAATTAAAATATGGATAACCATTTGCTGATTTTTTTTTTTTTTTTAGGGGGAGGAGGATAAAAAAGTATCTGTCTGAGCCACCTAGTTATTTTTATTTACTAAATAGTACATTTGAAACTTAAATGGAAACCGTGTAGGATTAAATAGTTTTTAATTTAAAAATAATTTGCTAAAATGTTTGACTGGTCGAAAACCAGTTTTGAGTCATTTCTTTTAAAGTCATTAGTGTAGACCGTTCATTGTTTTCATATTACATAATTCTGCTTTTAATAGGTTAAACTAAGTATGAACTAAATATTTTACGTTTTTAACTATTGCCCTTTGAGTCTACTACCCTTTAAAATAATATTTTTCTGTCATTAAATATAATATCACAACTTTTTATTAGAAACTAATTTAGCTGCATAAGACCGGAAAACAAACTACTAGTCTCTCTTTATCACTTAAAAACATTCATTCGGTTAAAAATTTAGTCACCATTATTACAAAATATTTGAAACAAAATTTTTTTCATTGATAAATTATCTTGAAAATATTCATAATCACCATTTAGATTAAAATTATAGAAATTAAAAAAGTATAGTTATAGTTTTATGTTAAGTATGCTGTATATTGTATACATTTAACAATTAACAAATAAATAAATATTTTAATTAATAATTAAGTTCATAATTCATATTATAGTTATAAGAAGACACCTTATTTTTGATAAGTTTGGGGAAAAATGTAAAAGGTTATTTTTTGGTCATTTCTATGATCACGTTTGGTCACTTGGTAACATTTTTTAAGATTTTTGTGCTCTTTCAGCTCTACATAATTATTTCATTTGGAAAAAAATCACACTATAAACCGAAATCCGAATAAACCTGTGTGTATAGTGTGTATATCAACGACATGGGGAATTTTTTTTATACACATTTTTTTTTTCTTAGACGATAAATTTATTATTATTATTTTTTTTTTTTCTACATTGGTATTACAACGAAATTGCATTGACGACGATGATGACACGGTGTAGACTGCGTGGGTTGACACAGCGAAAAGCACCGTTTGTCTTCTCAGAAGTAAAAAACACCGAGTGCTCCAATAAAGAATTGCTCAGCACAAAAAATATTTGCTAGACCATTGCAGTTGACGGTATTATTTTTTTTTTTGTAAAAATCCAGCAAACGCATAAGGTTTTTTTCCCGACTACCGGCATTTGTTAAGGTGTAAACAAATTGACGAAATTTATCAGACATTTCAATAGTTTTTTAAACTCAAGTATAACAGTAGCTGTCCTCGCTTTTTGTATTCTGTTCATTATTTTGCACTTTGGCCACTAAAAAAAAAAAAAAATTATCATAATATCCGTTATTTGGAGACACTCGCCGTCTTTTAACTACCTGCTCTGGCGGTCTCACAAAGCCAGCTCATTTACATTTAAAAAATATAAAAGCTCTGAATATATTACATTTTTTTCATAAACGAAGGTGGGGTCAATTAAGTAAGACGCTCGTTTGCTCGGAAAATAATTTTAATTTTTTTAATATATTCTTATTTATGTTATTTTAAAGTGTTATAAAATTACTAAACATCTACCTTGTTTAGTAGGTATTTTCCAGAGATCAATCGACTTTAAAATTTTAAATGATAACTTCTAATTAACATTTTAAATTGAGATTAACTTGCTGAAAATGTTGACTGGTCGGTAGCCAGGATAATTACATTTAATGTAACTTTAGTAACTTTAAAATGATTTCCTAGCCAAAATGTATACTTTTGTATTACTTCTACAAATTATCAATTATATGTTTGTTTATTTATCATTTTTAATAGCTTTTTAATTTCAAAATAATTTGCTAAATTGTTTGACTTGTCGATAACCAATTTTGAATAATTTTTTTTTTTAAAGTCATTAGCGTAGACCATTCATTGTTTTCATATTACATCATTCTGCTTTTAAAAGGTTAATAAAACTATGTATATTACTATTTTACATTTTTAACTATCGCCTTTTGAGTCTACTCTTTAAGATCATTTTTTTTTTACTAAAAATAAATATATTTTTGTTGTCACTAAATATAATGCTAGTTTTATTAGAAAATAATTTAGCTTCATAAAATAACACTTCTTTATTACCACACAAAAATGATCAATAATATGATAACTGAATTTGAACTTTGAATATCAGATAAATAAAAGTGTTAAGTGAAAATTTGGAACTGACAAAATTTCACAAAATTATATAATCTTTCTGTTCTCTAATCGGTTAACGTTGATTGAAAACAATATAGAAAAACAGATTTATGTAATTAAAAAAACTGTTTAGGATAATACTAGCAGTGCAGAACAAAAAAAAACATATTCTCATAAAATGTATACTTATGTGTGTTGTATACCTTTTACTTCATCAATTAGCGTTTGACTATTGGACAGATTTTTTGTCATTAATTATAAATTTCAATATTTATGCAATAAAGATAGAATTTGATTTTGATCCTTACACTTAGTAGTTGTGGTGCAAGATTAACGATTACAGATTTGACGGATTGTGTGATGGTCGAAAAACCAAATAAACCATAATTAAAAAACATAAAACTCGTGTCTTGAAAACATTTAAAGCTTATCTTAATGTATTCGGTAATGAGTAACGACATAAACTGTTATTTTACTGTGTTTATAAAAAGCGGCTTAACGTTTTTTTGGAACAGTTTTGATTTCCAAAGATAAAGCCCTAAGTGGTTTAAGGATTATTCCAAAATGGTTTAAACGTGTTATAATTGAAAATAAGTTTTTAAAATTAAATTTTCCCAAAAAGCCATCAGCTTAAATATTATTGTTTTGAGAAATATAAAACAGTACTTCCCTTGTATGTGTTCAGAAGAGGTCCATTTTTCTACCTACAGTACTTTTAATAGATTGCTGATTTATTTACCAAATTGGTAACATCACAATAACTTGATCATTTATAAAACCAAAAAATTATTTTTCAAACTCAAATGTAAGTGTAAATTGTGTTATTAAAAAACATTGGCCAAAGAGGTGGTATTATTTAAATTACATTCTACATTCATAGTAAAATCTAATGACAAGATAGGTTTTGTTCGTCGAGATGTTAAATGGGAGAATTACATTAATTGAAAGTATAAGAACATACCTAATTCAGAGTTGGCAAAAACCTAAAAAAAAAAATCTCATCCGAATTAGGTTCAACCATTTATTCAGTAAAAAAGTAAACATTTGCTAACGTCCAACCAAAAAAAATAAAACTGCTCGATATTCATTCTTAGCCTTTAGTTATTTTTGCCAACTCTGAACGGATTTAAGTTTTTGAAAATTCACATCATTGGAAAAATAAAAATTCTAGTTGACACCTAATAAAATATACCTGCATAAGTGACACATTTGTTTTATGTTAATACCTATTTATGAAAGAATGTACCTACCTGTTTGTTTATTTTCCTGTACTCAATCATGTAATTATTTACACACAGACCGACCATTTGTTAGCATTTCAACGTTAACTGCATTGTTCTAGTTTTAGTGCTAGTTCGATTATTATGCTTGTAAAAACAGATATTTTCTTTAGTGTTTTTTTTTTTATCACGTTGTTATGTTTTTATTATGTTTTACTCTCTTTATACTGAGAATTTAAAAAAAACAACACTGTAATGAACTATGTGTAACAATAGTTGATATTTTACCTATTTATAGTTTTGTACAGGGTGATCTGTTTAACGTGGAATACTCATTTTCTCTGGAAATAATTTCCATGTCTAAAATTATTTTTGGACACATTTTTTATCGTTATTCAACAGTATTCGAACTTGTATCTTATTTTGGTTAAATCTAGAATTCTATCTATTTATTAAATTTACACGATAACGAAAATATTTCATTAAATTTTTTTTAATTAAGAAAAATTTACTGAAAATTTCGACTAACCGATAACTAGATAACTGTCAACTGGTCTGCAAATTATTCTTAATTTAAATAGTTACTTAAATATAATAGGCATATGTTTCTATTTAAGTTGTACAAGTCCGATAGAGTTGTAGAAGGTATATCAATAAATGTCAGAATTATTTTCAAGAGGTATAGGGTGACTTTTGTTTAATGGATCACTTTGTGTTTAAGCTTAGGGGCTTGCAATAAGATAATGTGTTTTGTTAATGGGAAAAATGTTTCATGTTCTGTTTTAGAATACACGAGGAACCGATTTTATAAAAATCGAAAACGAATTCAGCGTGTCCAATATTATCGATGGCGGTGCCGACATCAAACAGTATGTATAAAATGTCATTTGTTACAATTTGTTTTGAACATCTTGTCTGAGACTAGTCAATTTAACAGCAATCGTTGAAAACGTCATAAAAGTAAAACAGGTATACATTTTTGTATACTGACACAAAAAAAAACATTTAATACTGTTTTTTTGGTAACCTCCTACACTTATTATGTTCTTTAGAATATCCAAGTTATTATCCTAACCTAACCTATTATTAGTGGTCTTGCAAAAATATTTCTTGAGTTTTCTTATTCCTTGAAATAAATTAAGTCGTTCAAGTATAGGATTTATTTTACTTCCTAATAGATTTTCAAGCAGTTCAGTTTCTCTACATTTGACAAAACAAACATGTTAAAGAAAAATAAAAAATAAAAATTTTAGTTTAACATCATCCTACACAACAATCATTATAAATAGGAAAAAAAACAAAAGTTAGTATAAAAAAGTTACTATTATTTTCTTCGAATAAACATTCTTTTGACAGCTGAACATCTTTTGAAACAGGATATTATTTTTTCTTTAAAATTTTCAGAGATTTTGGCATGTTAAATCAACAATTAAATTGTCAAAATTTAGCTGTACTATTCGGTATTGTTTATTGTTGGGTTAAAAAAATTAATATTACAATCATAAACACATCCAGATTGGAGTAATAATAAATGTTCACGTGCATAAGCTTGAGTTAGGAGCCGAAAGGGTCTGGAAATTATGTGATCTTCGTAAAAACAAGCTAAAAAATAAACATAGCTTATTGCTGTTTTATTTAAAATAGTCAAATACACATGACGGTTAAGAGGTAATTTAACTTACTAAAAAACTTTTAACAAGCTAAAAAATAAACGACACTGCGCACCTCAGTGTGAAATTGTCAACTAAAAAGAGAGGTCATATCATTTTTGGAGTTTGGACTTAAAATGAAGTGTCACCTCTCTCTCTAGTATTATTGAAATCTTTAGATGTCCAATCGCCTATTACTTTTTTACTGAAACATTCTGTATATATATATATATATATATATAAGGCACCATCAACGCAAAAGGGATGAGGTTATCTCGTTGGAAAATATATCAGATTTGGGCCAACTAACAACAATCGAGTTTATTATTATTTTTGTCGTCGATTTCCCCTTTTTCTCGTTTTATGCTTAACCAAAACATGAATGAGGTACCATTTTAAAGATCAAGTTTCCCCCCTTGCTTCTGACGAATTGTCAGATTCACAAATGCACATTGTATCATTTAGTTGAGCACCGGGCCGAGGTCGGCAACCTTTTGCCGCCAGCGTTCCCACAATGTTATCAGGGTAAGGACTAATATGGTATATCAGGCTCAGCAGGGGGTTAAGTGTTCGCGTGCAAAGTATTCGCACGGGCCAACTGTGTGCGGTACAAGTAGGTATGAAAAAGAATAATTAAAAAAAAATCTTTTTACAATATTCTAAGGGTCGTATTATTATGTATAGTTAACCATCCATAAACGGCTATAACGAGGAGGGTAGTATACCTACTACACGTGGCCGACGGTGGGAATCCCGCATAAAACCGTTTTTGTACATTATATACCACCACCGTTTATCTGTATATTTTTTAATTATAATTTAATATGTATTAAAAATCGACGGTGTAACTATATATATATATATATATATATATTTTTTTTTTTATTGATATAAATCATTGCTGTACATTAACGTTTTGTGGTCAATTTACCCCATTAAGCATGCTTGTGGTGCGGTAAATGAGTTACAACACATGACAATTTTTATTTAAAATTTAAAAAAAAAGTTAGATATAAAGAGACCCTAATTTAGTAAATATAATAATTTTTCATAATTGTAGTATTATCCATAATAAACTAATTTATTTAACAATATAGTACATTTGTAAGCTTTCTAATAAATACGCAAAAACAATTTTTTTTATTATACAGGGTGATTCATTAAGGATAAGACACTAATTTTCACGGAATATATTAATATTTTTTTCCAAGATTTTTCGGTACACATTGTACTATATTTATTATTCAATATTTTGAAAATTTGTATCACCAATCCTTGAAGGCCAAAAAAAGTGGGATTTTAGTTTTTTTTTTAATGGCAACATATGTTTTTAATTAGGTACATAAATTTGTAGACAAAAATAAAAAAATATTTTAGCGTTTGAATTTTTATTTACTTGTTCATTAGCTATGACTTTGTTAAGATACTACATTTTCTCTTAAAATTATCATGTTCCTTCGGTTTTCCAAAACCGGCAGCACATAAAGTTCATATTTATGTTCGCATTTGGCGATAACACTCTAACAAAAAAAAGTCACTGGTATAAAAAGACTTTGAAATAATGAAACGGTTCTTATATACAGATTACCGATTCCAACACAGGTACACAGGTTGGTTTTACAAACCCACTTTATCAAATTATTTTTATGCGTGTAATAAAACTACTCGTCTTTGTAGTAACGATTGAAAATATTAAGAAATACAGTCAAAAAATCAAATCTTTATAAAGTCATAACAAATGAACAAATAAATAAAAATTCATACGCTAAAATATTTTTTTTTGTTTTTTATTACAAATGTATGTAATTTAAAAACATATATTGCCATTTAAAAAAAATTAAAATCCCCCTTTTTGGCCTTCGAGGATTGGTGATGAAAATTTTCAAAATATTGAAAAATATAGCACAATGTGTACCAAAAAATCGTAGAAAAAAATATTGATCAAAATATTAATATATTCCGAGAAAATGATTGTCTTATCCTGAATCACCCTGTATAGATAGCCATGATTTTTACTTGCATTATTACAAATACTTTTTTTTGATATCTAAAGACAAAGAATTGCAAATGGTCGGACCTAGATAATCAACAAAATGTTTACCAAATTATTCTTTCTTTGTGTACCAAATAAATAATGTCATACGCTCTAATGTCACGTTTAGTTTCATTTTTTATATTATTTGACGAAAACAGTATGGCAAATTGTTTATAAAGAGACTTTACTACTGGAAGTAACTACCTTGAAATCTTTGTAGTTTTTACTTTTTTTTATTTAAGCTTATTCGCACAATTAAATTTTGTTGTACTTCTAGTGGTCTTATTGCATTCGCTGCACAACCCCCCCCCCCCTCATACTGTCAATCCTCGTTGTAAGACAGACTTATACAACGTTTGGTAAATAGTACGCATTGTATCCGTTGGAAAAATTTGATTTAATTTGTGAAATTTATAGACAATTAGATCTTAAACGCATTACAAGACTATCAATAATATGAACACTCCAGCGTAAGTTACTATCCACGATTAGTAGACCTAAGTATTTTACCCTTATAATTTTCTGACAGTTGTAACAACTCGAATTATCATTGCTACATGAGTGAATTTATTGAAAAATGGGTAACTTTGTATTAGAAAAAGCGATAAAAACCGATTTACTTAAAGACAGCTTTCTACTATTTAACTGTTTAAATATTCTGTTAACACCTAGTTCAGCTTTGTTTTTAACATTTTCCCATGTGGTACTAGAGAAAAGCACAGGCAAATATCGTCTGCACGAGCAACTACTAACAACATCTAACCTTATACTACATAACTCATTTATTTATTATAGAACAAATAGAATTGGGCCTAAAACGATACCTTGAGGAGGAACACCATACTTAATATTTTTCTCATTGCTGAGAACACCATTTACAGTGACCGTTTGTTGTTTTCTGTCATCTGAGTAACTTTTAAACCACGAATAACTTTCCTTTATTGTACTAAAATTTGGTAACATTTTCAATAAAATAGCGTTTATAATAATATTTACATTATTTTTTTTCCACGTAGTAATAGGGTCTTATGTGATGCGAGTGGTTTTGTATATACCTATATAATGTTATTACAACCTATTAGCAGCTCTTCTCTTTAAACGCCGCACTTAAAAAAGGGATCGAATATAAATTGGACAGCCGATTGCGCGGGTACCGCGTTTTCCTAGGGACTCGAACAACATTAATTTATAATAATAATAATAATAATATTGTCGCCCTCATCCTATCTCCCCCATCTAGTGTCTGGTCGTATAAAATATCCTATCCGCTTTTATTAGCTTAAATAGCAGTCAATGGCCGCGTGTGTCTGTAATTCGTGCGAGCGTTATATTCATTGGACCCACGGTTAAAAAAAAAAAAAATTACATTTTATATAGGTCATTACACAACATTATACTATTATTATTTATTACTACTGTCCACGACGGTCACAATCTCGTGACAGAGAATGATTTCTAAAACGCACTCGAAAAATTAAAATATTATACTTAATCCAATTCCCCGTGTGTGCGTGTTCCATTTACCACCGCGAGAGTCGTTATTGTTATTAAGTATTAACACTTAAACGAAAATTATTATTGTACATCATGATTCCCCGCTTAAATTTGTTAATTTCGTGTAGCAACTCTATAGATCAGAAATCATACCTGGAAGGTACTTTATCGGGCAAAAAATTAAAAAAAGTCACGTAACCGTACGGCGAACTCAAAAACATTTCCTTCTTTATCAGCTTCAAACTGCCGGAAATGGTGATTTGTGTCTAGAAAAATAAAATACCGGTTAATTTCCAATTTTGTTGTTAACTAGCAAGTTAAATATTTTCCTAATAATTTATAATACTAAATAATATAAATATCATAAGGTAGGTAGAGCGACACCACGATGTGACCGGTTAAAAATAATAACTGCTTTTCACCAACTGACCGGCTGATAGACCGGTTGTTAGACGAGCAAAGGCTTATCTTATGGCTGGCAGGTCTGTGAAAAATTCACATCACACGTTTTGAGCTGCAGTTGAGAGATTAGATATCCAGAGGGGAGGGAGGATAGGAGGAAAGGTAGGAGAAGGATAGAGTGTAGGTGACATTTCAACGTGGATACGTTTTTTCTGAGTCTATAAAACCGTACATGGGTTTTCCTTCTTCTCTCCACACTTGTCTGGTAGTAATAACAAACGGTTTGTTTAGTGTTTTAGCTTCGATGCGGAGCTGAGAAGGTATTGTAATTACAATGGTGTTTTTATTTTTTTGTATCTGGACCCTCGTAAACCGCTGAACCGATTTCTTCGTGTAGCAACTCTATAGATCAGAAATCATACCTGGAAGGTACTTAATCAGGTCAAAAATTATAAAAAAGTCACCCCTTCCCCATCCAAATCGAGAAAAACACCTAAAACATTTATAAATTGTTCAACTTAAAATTACACAATGCTCTATAACATTTTTAAAAATAGTCGAAAATGTTCCAAATTTATTTGTAATTGTTCTTCAAACATAGCACTGTCGATAAACATTAACAAACCTAAAAAATATCATAAACCCTTTTCCTTAGAAGGGATAGAATTGTTTTTCTTTATTTCACTTTTTCAAGCAAAGTTTTAGAGATTTTGATCTGAAAATTAGACCGAAGGTAGATCCAAAATGGAACTATAACATGTACAATTTTCTCAAAAATCTGTAGTGAAATTTTGTTTTTATTAAGGAAAAACCCCAAAAAAAGGGTAAATTTACTCTTTGGCCGTAGTCAGTTTCTAGGTTGCTACGTGTGTGTGAATAAACAGTCAACGGGTAATGAAAATATTTTCATTATATTGTTAACTACGATATATGGGTAACTATGGCAACACATTTTTATAGACAGACGAACAACCCTTATCGTATCCACCCTGCATAAGACTAAATATTAAATTTTAAGTACATTATTGCTGGTCCCGCGATATCTTCTAAACCGCTATAACTGGTTCGAACATACTATCCACAGATTCGCATCGAAGCGTTTATTTAAAAGTGATTTTATCACTTTCAGTTATAATAAAATCTGTACACCCGTGACCTCTCCATCCCCACTATGCCCCGACCCCATTGAACTGGTGTTTTTTTCTTCAAATTTTTAAGTAGCTAAAAACAAATCCAAAATTTTATAAATTTTATTTAATTTTCATACTATCTCAAAGTCATCAAAGATTGAAAACTATTTTTTTATGGGCAATTTTTTTTTTTATGATGTATATAAGTCTTTGGTCTAAATAAATGATTTATGTATATTAATCAATTTCTAAGTACATTTATGACTTAAAATTCTTGAATTTATAATTATTTATAGACTTAACTGTAGTGACGCCATTTTGATTTCACTTTTTCTGACTTAAGTCTTTTTTTTTACGACATCAGCCTTTTTGATCAAATAAATTTTGACTTTTGTTATTTTTATCAAACCTTAGAATATATTAATTACCTTTCCTAAAAATGAACTCATTATGATATCTAATAGGTGTTTAACAACAAATTACTGTAGAATAATTACATGTTTACTGTAAAATAATTTACTCAATGGTACATCATATAATAGTTTGAGAGCAGAATTAAAGTTATCTGATAAATAGATTATATGAAAATACCTATACTAGTTTGTACAGTTTGTGATAATTATCATAATTATTCTTATTATTGTCTATTATTATTTATTATGAGCACTTTTGATATCACTAATAATGATTTTGAAATAAACAGTTTATTTCTTGACTTATGCTATTTAACCACATGATAATCACGCTACAAAATGATTAAGTCATATTAAGCCGTTTATACCTGTCCAATAAAGTGATGTAAAAGGCATAAGTCATATTATGCCCTTTCTACCAAACTTAAAATGAAAAAACTCCAAATATGCCCTCTTTATTTCTTCAATAACATGAGAATATTCGTCACTGACTTATGCCAATTGAACCAAAAAAAAATCAGTAAAAATCAAGCTTTAAATCTACGGAAAAACAATTTTTTGTGAAAAATTGACTTAAGCCCTTTCTACCCGGGACCAAAGAAGTAACTTCAAAGTTTGGCGTTTTACTAAAAAGTGCTATATATTTATGAGCCTATAACACTTCTTAGGGCTTAAACAAAAAATTCTGAAGTTTCTACAGCAAATGAATTATAAGTATATAAAACATGTAGCAAAAGTTTGGTAATGGAGACTTTTTTTTTTCTATTAAAAGCTTTAAGAACTACGCATAAAATCGTATTATTCAGTTTATTTTAATTTCTAAAAAAAACCTCTTTACTTTTTCCTTTTCTATGGAATTATCCGCATAGGATATATAAGTTTGAGGCTTTTGGAAAATCCACTCGCACACACATTAGGTGATTTGGCATGAAATGACCCTCGAGGGATTTAAAGCGACGCACAACCGAAGGAAATAAAATCTTATACACCGAATTTTTGTTTTAATTTATCTTTTGTGTTGACAAATGGTAGTGATAACAAATATATCTATAATAGACCGTGTCTAAAGGAAAATATTGTAAACATGTTTTGTTACTAACACCACCATCTTGTCTGGCTCTACTAAAAAAGCAATCCAGTAATCCTGCTAACATACGTTGTGTGTTGTATCACAACAGGTTCAAAGCCTAAACACATTAAGTTAAAACGACGTTCTACATTCCAAGATTTGGCTGAAAATCTGGAATTGTTAAGAAAGTCAAAATTATGAGTGGGCGGGTGTCGTCGTAGTACATGTTCATGATTATTTACACACGTTTCTCCTCGAAGAGGAGGAGGTAATTTGAATTTTAAATTTCCATGTTCATATATTTTATGACATATACGTTTATATACAACTCGGCTCGCAGTCGGTGGTTTTTGTTTTTATTATTTAATTCAAGTTCTTCGAAAAAAAACCATATTAATAAACGAGCAGCATTCGTATAGTACACATTGTGTATGCGTTAAATAATATTAACTAAAGGTGATATAACAGCGGTGGAGAGCGAGAGTGAGACTTTATAAATAATATATATATATTTAATTTTTTTTTTATTCTCAAGTGTGATAATATTTCCGGACCCTTTGCACGACGTTAAGTGAGTGTATTTTATAAGCAATTGCTCTGCTGCCGAGCATTTGGTAGTAGTGTCCCACTCGTCGAGTTTATGAGATTCACGAGAAGACACAATTTTTTTTATTCCAGTTCATTGCCGCCGTATGTATTCAATTAAAACGGTTTTTTAATTCGTGCGACAATAAAAAAAAAAGGGGGGGCTCGTCGAAACGACAATTATTATTATTGTTATTAGTATTATTAATAGTAATCAAGGGCCGGGGACTCGTTAAGACGTATTGGAGTGTCATGTCAAAATGTTAAGTATTACCAAAATACAATACCACCAGCGGCTGCGGCGGCGGTCGACCAACGATCTAGATTAATCGAATGCAATTACACAAAAGAAAGATTTGATTTATTCAAAACGCTCAAGCCCGTGAAAAGTAGTACACGCCGATATTGTATACAGGGTGATCCATTTAACTCGTTTTCTACGATAAATATTAACAATTTTGTAGTTTATCTTTTTGTGGACATCATTAAATTATGTTATTTATTTTACAGCATTAGACAATATTTAAATTTTCATAGATTTTTTTTTTTTTGGGGGGGGGGGAAGGGAAGGGATGAATTCTAAAGATCTATCGACTTTCGAAAATTAAATTAAGAATAATTAACTAAACGTTTTTTTTTTTTTTTACTGGTAGACAAACAGTTTTGAGTTATTAATGTGTTATCTCGAAGCTTTTATAAATTAACCTATTTTTTTCTTAAATTTTGCCTATACAAAACTCCTTAAAAACACACAGCGTGCTGTCTACCCTTAGGTAAATAGTCGAACTAGATCCTAGTAGTTATGCATTGAGAACCCCAACAAAAAAAATTATTAAAACATATTTTTTATTTTAATTATATTTTGTGGTTTTATTACTTACCAAAAAAAAAAAACAAACCGGTCAATGTTACTAAATGCAAATTTGACAAATAAAATGGCGTTTTTTTTTTAAAACCCTTCGAATGTTACACACAATTTTAAGTTTTATGGAGGTTTTGCGCGTTTCCAAAAAAACTTAAAAGGGACAGACTTAAAGCCATTCTCCCAGTTTATTTTTTAATTTACTTTTATTTTTTCATGTAGTGTAGTTATGAGATGAATATAATATGTCTTATAACCTTTCTTAACTATCCCTCCTTATCACTTATCACACCCATCCTTATTATGAAGTATCCAGCCGAACCGTGTGAAATGTGTTCGGTTAAGATTGTGGAGCGGTGTTGGGGTGCCTCGAAGTATATCAATGATCATTTATGATGTTTCTCCTTGAAGAAGGGGGATGACCCATGTTGTTGTCATGTTGTTATTTTTGTAAATTTTGTTTGTATTAAAGTGTAAACGTTTGTATCTTGTTCAACAGGGAAAACTCCTCCTCGGGAGATGTGGCTTGCGATTTCGGTCGGGGAAACGTGGTCGAGAGCAGCCCGTCGATTTCGGTGGAGTCGTTGCAGTTGTCCAACCAAGAATCGTGGAAAAACTTCATCTTCGGCCAAGTCAACTACCGGCGGTTCGACGACCACGTCCGGGAATTGGTCGACGACATTGTGCAGAGAAACGATCTGCCCGGAGTCAGCCCGTTGTCGGATATGCACTTGGCCACTGACGAAGTGAGTAGCACGAATCCTTCAAAAAATCCTATTAAAAATGCCAGTACAGTGGGGCCGGGGCATAGTGGGGACGGAGAGGTCACGGGTGTACAGATTTTATTATAACTGAAAGTGATAAAATCACTTTTAAATAAACGCTTCGATGCGAATCTGTGGATAGTATGTTCAAACCAGTTATAGCGGTTTAGAAGATATCGCGGGACCAGCAATGATGTACTTAAAATTTAATATTTAGTCTTGTGCGGGGTGGATGCGATAAGGGTTGATCGTCTGTCTATAAAAATGTATTGCCATAGTTACCCATTTATCGTAATTAACAATATAATGAAAATATTTTCATTACCTGTCGACTGTTGATTCACACACACATAGCAACCTAGAAACTGACTACGGCCAAAGTGGAAATTTACCCAATTTTGGGGGTTTTTCCTTAATTTTAGATCTACCTTCGGTCTAATTTTCAGATCAAAATCTCTAAAACTTTGCTTGAAAAATTGAAATAAAGAAAACAATTCTATCCCTTCTAAGGGAAAGGGTTTATGATATTTTTTAGGTTTGTTAATGTTTATCGACAGTGCTATGTTTGAAGAACAATTACAAATAAATTTGGAACACTTTCGACTATTTTTAAAAATGTTATAGAGCATTGTGTAATTTTAAGTTGAAAAATGTATAAATGTTTTAGGTGTTTTTATCGATTTTGATGGGGAAGGGGTGACTTTTTTTAAATTTTTGACCTGATTAAGTACCTTCCAGGTATGATATCTGATCTATAGAGTTGCTACACGAAGAAATCGGTTCAGCGGTTTACGAGGGTCCAGATACAAAAAAATAAAAACACCATTGTAATTACAATACCTTCTCAGCTCCGCATCGAAGCTAAAACACTAAACAAACCGTTTGTTATTACTACCAGACAAGTGTGGAGAGAAGAAGGAAAACCCATGTACGGTTTTATAGACTCAGAAAAACGTATCCACGTTGAAATTTCACCTACACTCTATCCTTCTCCTACCTTTCCTCCTATCCTCCCTCCCCTCTGGATATCTAATCTCTCAACTGCAGCTCAAAACGTGTGATGTGAATTTTTCACAGACCTGCCAGCCATAAGATAAGCCTTTGCTCGTCTAACAACCGGTCTATCAGCCGGTCAGTTGGTGAAAAGCAGTTATTATTTTTAACCGGTCACACCGTGGTGTCGCTCTACCTACCTTATGATATTTCTATTATTTACTGTTATAAATTATTAGGAAAATATTTAACTTGCTAGTTAACAACAAAATTGGGGATTAACCGGTATTTTATTTTTCTAGACACAAATCACCATTTCCGGCAGTTTGAAGCTGATTAAGAAGGAAATGTTTTTGAGTTCGCCGTACGGTTACGTGAAGCTCGATTTTTCCGAAGCCGGCCATGTACAGCCGTTGTTCATGAACCAGATAGCCGTCGTCGTCGGAACCAATCCGGGCACCGAGATGTTCAAAGTCAGGAAAATATTCACCAACGCTTCGCTGCCGTTGCCCACGCAGCTGCCAAGCTTTTGCCAAGGTGAACCTTTTTTTTTTTTTTTATCAATCCGAAGATTGGTTAAATGATTATAGATGTCTCTCTCCAGACTTATCTCTGTCACTTATAATCCTCTTCAGCTCCCAGTATGTTCCTATTCCGGTACCTTCCATCACCTGCTTCAGAAATGGAGTTCTAGGACTTTCCTCTTCCAGGTTTTCCTTCGATTTTTCCCTCTGTTATTGTGGTTATCTAAGGACTATTCCTTATTACGTGTCCGATCCACGGTTTTCTTCTCAGTCTTAGAGTATTCCATATTGATTTTCGGGTATTCATTCTCCTGAAAACCTCAGCATTTTTTTATCTTTTCTGTCCGTGAAATTTTTAGCGTTCTTCTCCAACACCATACTTCAAAGGCTTCTATTTTGGCTTTTTCAGCCGTCATTATTGTCCAAGTGTCTGCTCCATATAGAGCTACACTCCACACAAAGCTTTTTATAAGTGTTTTCCTGGTGTCCAGACTTATTCTGTTTGGCTATTCTACATACTATATCTGTATGGCTTTTCCCATCGCTTGTGATTTTGCTCCCCGGGTATGTGAAGCTTTGAACTGTCTCCAGCAATATTTCATCTAGAGCTATGTTTGCATAAATCTGCTGTTTGCTACATATAAGGATCTTGGTTTTCCGTTGATTTATTTTCATGTAGTGTTCTTTAAGCGTGTCGTTCATTTTTTCGAGCATGTTAGTTGTGTCTTCTTCACTTTCTCCGATTACAGCAATATCGTCCGCGAAACGCAGCATTTGCACAAGTATTCCACCTATCTCTACTCCTCCAATGTTTTCTTTTCTTACTTCATTTAAGGCTTCTTCTATGTATAGATTGAATAAGGTAGGTGATAGATTGCACCCTTGTCTTACCCCCTTAGCAATTTTAGCCTCCACCTGGTTGTTACCTTTTTCAGCTTTTATAACTGCGATTTCGTTGATGTACAGATTATAATATATAATTTTTCTATCGTTATAGTCTATTCCAATGTCTTCAATAATCTTAAAAAGTTTTGTCCGTTTATCATTATCGAAGGCCTTCTCCAGATCTACGAAGGCTATAAACAGTGGTTTGTTGATTCTAAACATTTTTCTCTATGATTATTCTTAAGCATATTATCGCGTCTATTTTTCCTGAAACCAAATCGGTCTTCAGCTAAATTTTCATTTATCTTCGACTCTATTCTTTTATGCATTATTTTTGTGAGAATCTTAGAAGCATGTGTTATGAGGCTAATTGTTCTGTATTCTTCACATCTCTCTGATTTCTTTTTCTTGGGAATGGGAATAGGTAAACCCAATTGATGGATTGTTTCCTTCAACCATATGTTGTAGTATGTAATACAATTACTTATTTATGTTTTAAATATTAACATTATACTGTTGTGTGTGTACAGGCAACCTGAACATGATGATAGCGGCTGGACCATTCTTCAGCGAATCGTCTCCCCACGGAGTTTTTTTGAAAAACTTTATACAAAAAGCCATCGAATCGCGTGCGTCGGTCGTCGTATTGCTCGGGCCGTTGTTCGAATCGGATTTTGGCGCTCAGTTGAACAAAGCCACTTCAGACGGCCTGCAAAAGTGTTATGACGATATTATGGAAGCCATCCTGTCGCCGTTGTTTAGGTTAGGTTACAAATAGTGTGAAAATATCATGTCGAGAGAGCTATATTTAATCGATTGCCCTTTTACGGTACGCTGCACAGTAACAGTAGCGAGTCTGTATAATGTTTAAAGAAGATTATCGTACCCATAAGGTGTACCATACAAGGCTGTAAACGGTTCAACCCGTTAAGTTAGGTCGAAAGTAAACCAAAATAAAACACCCTTAAAACTTAAACATTTTTTTTATTTTGAAAATATTTCCAAATATTGTGTAGGATATTCTCTGCTGTTTGATTACTATCAATTAAAAAGTTGTTGCATTTTTTAAATGAGCAGTGCTCTAGATTATAATATCAAAAATAGGTAAACGTTTGGAAATTTGATTGCATTGTAAAAAAACAAATAGTAGAATATTGCTATTATTATTATTATTATTTATTTTTTAAACTTACAGCAAACATATTTTCTGATCTGTTTGCGTATCTTTCGCATCGAAGCATTTAAAAACTTTACGTCGTTAAACGAAAGTAACTTTTTATATTTTCCATCCGGTATCGAAGAGGGTCTTTCAAAGCCAAAATTTATATGATTTTATAATAACTGCCACAAAATATATATTAATATGATATTGGGAGTGCTTAAGAGGGCGTCGTACCGCCCATTTTTAAGGAGTAAAGTATAGGCAATTTTTTACAAAATCTTAATTTAAATGTTAAACTCTGATGTGTAATTATTAGTTCAATAACTAGGACTCTATTTTGGTAGTTAATTTATTTTTTTGACTCGTACAGCATCCTTGAAAGCGATTTAAAAATGTTTTTTCATCTTAACATGTTTAAGCAGACTAAAATAATTCGCTTAATTTTGGTTTAAGAGTAAAAGTATCCATTATAAAATTAAAAAACAATGTTCCGGAGGGCAAGACGGTGCGCTTTTTTCATTATTCCAAGTATAACGCTAGATACATAGTTTAGAAATAACGGCTATTTTAACATTTTTAAATGACTGTAACTTTTCAAAAAATGAATCTTTTTTTAAAAAACGCACCGTCTTGTCCTCCGGAATATTGTTGTCTTTTAATTTTATAATGGGTGCTTTTACTCTAAAACCAAAATTAAGCTAGTTATTCTCAGTTGGCGTAAACGTGTTTTTACCACTAAAAATCACCGGTGCGACGCCCTCTTAACTGATTTTGAACTTTATTTGAAACTAAATTTAACAAAATTTGGTTAAGTTCCAAAATTTAGATTATGCTAACAATGTGTGTACAAATATTATTTAAATTTTTTTACAACGATGTGTGTGGATAACAACGGCAACAAATTATTATAGATCAACCTTAATGTTACTCACTTCCACCCTAATACTAAAACTACAACGTTAAGTAAGATATCGGCGTTACAACGCTTTTATCGATATTTTTATTTCTACCGTACCGTATCGTCACGCACCAAAGTTGTGAATCTGTTTTTGTAATATTGATAATAATATTTCTTTTCTCATTTTAGCAACACGCAAACGCACAACGCCAAAGTGGTGTTGCTCAGCTCGTGGAAAGACGCTGCGAGTTTTGCCTGTTATCCTACACCGCCCAACGTCGAGACCAGACTGCCCAACGTGTTCCCGGGTAACGTGTTCGCGGCATCGGATCCGACCGTGTTCACTATCGACAACATAACAGTAGCGGCCAATGCCAGCGACGCCATCATGGACTTGCACGTTTCTTCCATCAACCAGTCCTCGTAAGTAACACAGTCACATTTCGATTGACTTTGGTCGTAACTCGAAAAAAAAAAAACAAAACGCTGTACGATCGGAGCACTAGGTTGAGTACGAAGAACCGAGTTATGGTTTATTTTTAAATCCTGTACATTAATATGTTGTTGTGCTTTAAGTGCCAAATTCGATTAAGCCCAATCGTACAATCTATATATTTTCTATCTATATATTTTCAATTATTTCATAATCCATTAAGTAACAAGCCGATATGATAAAGCAATACTAAAATATAATTAAATAAATTTAACCGTTTATAAGAAATACAACAAACAACTTGTTGATTTTAAATACAATTTAAACGTCAAATAGTTACGTCATAACATGGTTTTTTTTTAATAAAAATAGTTATTTCTTATCAATCAAATGTTCTCCAAAATCTGTTGAGTTAGAGATACGTATGTAGATCTGTCGCAGGAGAAATGTAGCCAACAAAAATCCTTTTTTTACAAACACTTTACAAAGGGCAAATTGAAAAAGTGAAGAGAGGCCTCCTCCCAGAGGGGAGGGAGGTACTCGGACAGAGTTAATTAAAGATATTATTTACATTTTTTGTTCCTATTAATTTTTTACAGCGAAGAACTGTTCACGAAACTGTGCAAACAACTGGTGTGGCAACGCAGTTTGCATCCGTCATACACGGCCAGCCCTACGGTGCCCGTCGATCAACTGCTTTGGCTGGAGCATTGTTCTTTGAAACGAAACACTCCGCACGTTATACTGATGAGTTCACAACTGCGTACCTTCATACGAGTAAGCCACACTTGTCGTAGCTTTACATCGTAAGACCAAGACAATTATAAACAAATAGAAATTTTCTGTTATAACATAATGTAAATTTTAGTACTATTTTAACGGTTTCAAAAGAAATTTGGAGTTTCCACTTACAGAAGGGCCTACGATACTTTTTAAAACGCTAAACCAATTTCTTTGTGTAACAACTCTTTAGATCAGAAATCGTGCCCAACAGGTACTTTATTTGGCCAAAAATAAAAAATTTGGTTTATTAAGGAAAACCCAAAAAAAATTTCAAATAACTGTAATTGAGATTCACTCACACAACCTAAAAATTGACTTTGGTCAAAGTGTAACTATCTCATTTTTTACTTAATTAAAATAAATCTTATAGCCCCATTCTGGCCCTAAAACTATACCTAAAAACATAGCGAAAAAAAAAAAAAAGATTCCACCCCTTCTAATGGAAAGGATTTATGATATTTACTTGGTTTGTCAACGTTTATTGGTAATATACTATGTCTAAAGAATATTTCATACAATTAGAATGATTATTTTTAATAACAAAAATCTTCATTATTTGACTATCGAAGGACGACAAGTCATTTACAATTGTCTACATTCAAAATTTCCTTTGCTACAGTGTACAAAGTAGTGCTAAATTAAATATTATATCCAAAAATGACCAATTTTTTTTTAGTATAGACACCGTACACCAGGTCTCTTAGCGCTGCAGTGGTGACAACGCGCTGACTTTTTTTTCCATAAGAAAGCATTTTAAAAATGGAAAATTTGTAATTTTAAAAAATCATTGTTGTACATTTTTTTATTCTATTCAAGATGTTTGATATTAAAAAAATAGATAAAACCATTAGTTTTAATACTATAGTTGTTTTAGAAAAAACTCCTACGATACATTGTACACCGAATCGTATCCGCACTGTTTTCGAGCGGCGGCGGCCGTACGTTGTCTATATGTATATTTTTTTTTTTTTCCACTCTGACAATCTGATGTTTTTCTTTCAGGTGATCGAAGGATGTTTGGTCGTCAACGTCGGCCAACTGGTCAAGCACAATTCGCAAAAGCAACACTTGTCCGGAACGTACGGCAACGTTCGGGTAGCTCCGCCCGACGACGGCAAGTGGTCAGTTGAAAAATGTATATCAGCCCAAGTCTTGCACATATAACTGAATCGTTGTTAACCGTGTCGACCTGCTGACGTGTCTCGATCGACGATCAAACGACGCGGTCCAAACATTCGGATCTCTATTTTCTTAAGCACAACAAAGGATTAGATAATAATATTAAGTTAAGTTTTGTGTATATAAATAATTTATTTTTTTAAATAATATATATATATATTTTTTTTTATTGATATTAAAACGTTTTTTGTTATATTTGACTTGGTAAGTTTTATCGAGCCGCGATGCCTTTTACAAAAAAATAATAGAAATTCTTTGTACCCTCTCATAGCTGAAAAACATGGGAAACTACCAATGTTACAAACACCTTCAGGTATGTATACTGAATAACCCAAAACTAAACTGCTGGCAACACAAAATGGCTGCATTTAACAGTATGGTTTTTTGATTAGTAAGTAATTCTATGCTCAAAAATGAAACAAAAACTTTTAAAGAAATAGCCATATTCAACGGCTCCAACAAAATCAAACATAAATGGTCAAAAGTAATCAGAGCGACCTTAGAAAGGGAAAATAAACAACATACAAAGAGATCAGCAATAAAATTAACACCTTATTGAAATTTTTTTTTTTTATTACTAATTATTGCCTATACAAAACTCCTTAAAAAAAAGACCGCATGCAAATCCCATTAAGAGAATTAAGGAGTTAGATGTAGGCAATTTATTGCAACTATACTATATATTTTTATTAGATTAAAATGTGAGTATAATTACTAACGCGTTTGATTTACCCGTGCACTTAATTCTAAGATTTTAGATTATTTTGAAATTTCTAGTAAAATCTATTCACCTTTATAACAAAACGGTTCTGTCCAAGTCAAAAACTATTTTGTCAGGAACAACAAGTTCTTTGAGTGTCTTCTTGAGGTCTACATACATTATGTTCTATGTTAGGTTGGTACCACTACTGTAGGTCTTTGTGGTATAATCTTTGTATTGTAATTTTTTTTTTTTCGATGACTTAATGGAAACTAGGTCTGTTCACTTCACCCCAAACGGTCACTCTAAAACTGAGATAATTTTGACCAATTAATAAATGCAAAATATCGTGTTAACATAAAATTATTCCCATAGCAACATTTGAATAATATTTCAAACAGTGCTTAAATAAACTCAAATATTGTCAAAAGAAGTGAGAAAACAATAAGTAACTTGAAACTAGAAAGTGATTTGACAACGCTTAAAGATTTTGAATTTTGTAGTTACACATTTCATCAGGTATGTGCTTTTGCAATAATACCAGAAAATGTATGGATTCTAAAATGAAAAAAATTGAATTGAATTTACACATTTTCCTTTAACAGTTACCAACTTTGTTCATAATATGTTTCTCTGTGCAGCACTAAAGGTATGTAAATATATAAAGGCGATTACACATTTCCTCTGAAATTAACATTATACAAATCGATGAGATTAGATTTAATAAAAATTAGCTGTAAATGAATTTTTATATTAATTTCAAATATTTTGTCCACTGTCAAGCGTTATTTTTATTATTATATAATTATTACAGCCCATTGGCATTCGTTGTGTAACAATTCTGTTTATTACATTCACCAGCCCATCTAAAATAAAAAAAATAAAAAAATGTTCGAGCTAACCTGAACGGTTAAATAGAAGCTATGATATTTATTTTTGTAAATCGTTTTGACAATTGAGCAAACACAGCCAAACAATTATGGTATATTATTATTATATAAATATTATTTCCAAATGAATCATCGTTAACATCAAAAGCTTTCTGGATTTGTATGTCTGTGGTATAAAATTAAAAAAAATATGATTAAAAATGGTAAAATTAAAAAAAAAACTCTAATAATGTGCAACTAACTTGTAATTGCAACCGCCTCCATAAAGTCCTCTTAAGAGGACGTCGCAGTCAAATATTTCGAGTACTAAAACACCGCTTCGGACTTCAAATAGTACTCAGAAACTATTGATCGTAGAATAAATTTAAGGATACCTAAAGAAAGCCTGGAATGTCTACTATGTGCGTATAGAGCCATATTTCCAAAAAAAAATTGTTTACTTATAGTTATTTCAATAAGAATTTTTACTTTTTTCAAACGTTTATAGAACCATTGTAAATAAAGTTATCGAAAAAAACTCTCTATAGGCACGTAGAAAAAGTTCTGATCTTTCATATGGTACTATAAACGATTTTCTACCGCCAAAAGCGTACGAGTACTATTTGAAGTGCGAAAGGATGTTTTTTGAATTTTTATAATAATTATTACGCCGAGAGCTGGCGCGCCTAGCGGCTAATTTACTACATATCTTTATACGTTCGGAAAACCGGTTTTGGGCTGACTGCCGTAGCGCGGCGACAGCGATAACGTCGACGGTGACACCGCAATTATATTATTACCTGAAGTAAAAACAGATAACCCAATTTTTAACAATAAATTTTCAATAACACAAATATTATATTTTACTTGCACAACGATACCGTTATTTAATATTTGCTTTTTTATGTTTATAATTCTATAGATAACTAGCTCAATAAGCCAGTCGCTAACTCACTAGTGTGAAAAAGGTATCAAGTGTAGTAAATTATAATTTGTAAAAATTGGAATTTAAAAAGTTATTTAGGGGAACGGGGGGGGGGGTTATTGCACACTGTGATAAAAAATCGGAAAAATGTTCAAATGCCTCTCCGAAAAACCGAAACATTGTAATACAATATGTGCCCCCTTCCCTTCCAAGACCAAAATTGAAAATTTAAAAGTTGCTACGTGTGAATTAATCAACAGGAAATTTGCAGATGCAACAATTTATATAGACCTGTGACGTATTTTGAACAACATTTTGGGGGGTGTCCATTTCTTTTTTGTACTACCCAGTGTCCGTAATTTCTATATTCGTATTTTTCGTATAGATTGTTTTTCACTCTTAATCTAAGACACCCACCTCTTATTCAATGCCGAACACTAAAAACTTACTTATCTAACATAAATATTTATAATATAATTTTTTTATAATTATAATTTATAAATTAAATATTTTTAATCAAAATATATTTTAATTATAATATATTCTTCGTATTCTGTTTTATAACAAAATTAAATTAAAATAAAACTATAAACCCCAGAAGTAATTTGTTTTATTTAGTTCTTGCAGTACATCGTCGGTCTCTACTATTACGGGTTTTGCAAATGATCATTGGTGCCGATTGCCGAGGCCAATCATAAATTGAAAAAATATATTTTTGAAAGTTTTATTGTAAAGTTATATAAAACTTATTGAATGTCTTTGTCTTTGTATTGTTATTTGTTAAATAAGTGATTTAATTATAAGAAGAAATGTATTCATTTGTTGTATATTTAATAAAAAATGTGTTATGTGAAATACATTTTTTTTAGCCATGGGGTATCTAGACACCGTGGACACCCACCCAAAATACGCCTATGACAGGCGCAATATGCTCCGTATCCACTTTGTCCCAACTCCACTGTATTGGCTTTTCATTTTATTTATACAGAATATAATATGTCCGTATATATTAGTGCATAATTTTGCAAAAATGTTCTAATGCTCTACAATCGGTATGCCGACTGTCGTAGCCACGGTCCGGCGGCGGCAGCGGCGATAACGTTGGCGCCCGGCGGTGACCACCATAATTCGCCGGATAACAACAGATAATCTAATTTTAACTAATCATATTATTTTGTAAATATTGTAGACATATGTCTATACTAGGGAAATACTATATTTTCGTTGCACAAAGAAGCTACATTTTTATTTTTCCAATTGTGTTGTGTGTTTTATAGTCAATTTTTCAATTGTAATTATAATTATTATTTAAAAATAATTGTTATAATTCTAATTTTTATAATTTTTAATTCAAATTATTTTGTATAATCAAAATTTGTGTAAAAAATGGACCATTCGAAAAAGAACCTTCCATTTAGTTCTAGAAAACCTTCTTCAAAAAAAAATGTGGCTCAAAAATTAAAGGCAGCCCGCGATAAAAAAAAGTAAGTGATTGTTTACAGAATGATATTTATTTATTTTTTGCTTGAGAAACTAATACAAAAATATTATTGAATCAATAGGTTATCAGGTGTATCTTTAGACATCCAACAAGAGACTTCTAATTTGGATGCTACTGCAACTTCAAAGTTAGTAGTAGCTTTTTTATTAGCACTTGAAGTAGTTGATAAATAATTTAATTAAAAATAAAAATAAAATAATTGTTATTATTTAGTATGACCCAAATTACGCTGAATGATGAAAATCATCCCTATAATAAGGCAGGGTCAGGAGCACCTTCCCTATTAGGAGCTGATGGTTCTATGCCGGGCCCGTCAAAAAATATATTTTATAATGTAGACGAATTTGGATCAAGGTAGATGTGCACTTTATTAGAACTTATTAATATACTAGGACTCAATGGCGACGCTAGGATGGACCCGGGCCTACCCTAAAGCCCACTCTAAATTAAAATAAATTTATTACCAATTCATAACTAGAACAATAATTTTTATGATTTTAAAATGAACCATAATCCCACTTAGAGTCAAGTGAGGTAATTGTAAACGACGGGCAAATGTAAATGTAGTTTTGTTTAATAATGTAATTAACAATAAAACACATAATTAAATAAAATACTAACACTGTTGGTTCTTTCAATAAACAAAATTGCATTTACATTTGCCCCATTAGTTTATAATTACTCCACTTGACCCATTAAGTATACAAAAATATTGTAATATAATGTATTTAATCTTTTAAATCACCTAATGCAAAAGTTCTGGCGCCGCCACTTTGTATGATAATAAGATGTCTGAACATTTTTAGTTATTTAAAATTACAAATATAACAACAAAAATAATTTAAATTCTTATTTATATTTATATATGTAAAGTTCTAATGAAACACGATTGACCGATTTGCCGAATAATTCGACATCATTCATTCCAAGGTAGGCTGATGATTTTACATGTATTTTTGAATATTTTAGTTATTTGTATATACTTTTGTTTTAATGATAGAATTAATGTAATGACATCAAGCGAAATTAGTATTACTGGCATAAATACATTAGATTATATTGAAAATGATATTATGACAAATATTGATGAAAGTGTATCACATGAGCTAACAACTGTCCGTGAATCTGAAATTAATAGTTCTTCTTTAATGTATGTATAATGGATTAATTTTGATTTTTGAACAGTATTAAACAATTTAA